TCTTAGAACTTGTCGATCAAATTGAACAAAATGCTTCGGTGATAGCTAGCGGGACTTTTTCTGTGATGTTGGGTTTTTGAATGCACGACTCTCGAGTTAGCGCAAAATTCAATTATCCTTCATTTTTGGTAAAGCTCGCATCGCGCTGATGAAAACGCTATCTATATCTAAGCTAAATCTTTAAGCTGCTCTGCTCTCCACACGAAAGAATATGATATACTTAAGCACTGACCGTTAAGGTTAACCATGTCTAAATGTGGACAGATAGAACTAAGGGAATGCAGTGGCTAAAATTCAATGACAAATTACCCGTATTTGTCGCTAACAGCGTCGAGGAAATCCTCGAATCAACCAGTATTGATGAGCGGCACCTTGTTTTGTGCGGAAAAAATTAAGCTGATACCGGAAACAGGGGTTTTCTTCGGAAGCACTCAAGAATAACAGATTGTTTATTGGTCCGAGCATTCTCAAGACCACTGATTGCCGATGATCTCAAGAGCCGATGATCTTCTTAGCAAAAAAAAGTTTGAAAGGTCCTTCTTGTAACGTCGATAACTGCTTGCAGACATTATCTTCCTTCGTCGCCGATGTCAGATCCATCAATTATCGCGAACACGGGTACAACAGGGAAAGGTTCAGTTCCTGTACGAGGTATAAAAGGGTCGTCGGGTTTATATTGAGGGTGCTGCCTTCACATAAACTTTTTTCGCGGTAAGGACTTACGAATCACCGATCCCACTGAACTTGATACTGCAGAAGACAAAGTAATTCATCTTGCTCAGATGAAATCCTTTCCAGTTGAGTTAAAATCACTCAACGCTGGCATATTTAGTTAGAACAGTAGTAAAATTGCCACAAACTCTCCATTTAACGGTCCCGCTGCTATTATTCGCTCTACTAGCTAGATTGTTCGCTTAGTGAATATCGAGTTTGATACTAAACAGTTTGGTTCTAATCTACGCCCGTCATACTCTAGTTCACTTGTCGGCCCGAAGCTTACACAATTAACATTTTCATCAAGATTTATACTACTTGCGCTCCATATTAAACTTGAAATAAGTAGTTCTTGGGTTGAATCGATCAATTCGGTCAATCCAAAACTAATGTATAACATGCCGTAAAAGCAAAGCTAGTACCATTCAGCCAATTGTGTCCGATTTACCTGTCAAACGTCTCGGAGATAAGAAACTCTTTAAAGATACGGTTGTGGATTACTTTGGACCGCTTTACGAGAAACACTAAAAAAGCACTTGGGTTACCAGAAGCACTGAAAAAAGATGGGTTTTCTTTTCCTTTGCCTCGCCACCAGGGCTATACACCTTGAGATTGTGCCATCTCTGGACACTAATTATTGTGTCATGGGCATTGAACGGTTAGTTGCACTTCGTAGTGCACCAAGCACGACACGAGCTTGGTTGGTGTGGAAAAGGAATTACTTGCCTGAATCAAGAACTGAAATGGCATGGTTCCGACCGTTTTAGCACACAAAATTGTTTCTTGGAAATTTAAACCGCCACTTTTAAGTCGGCTCCTGGGAGCGCCTCGTCCAAAGCATAAAGCGCGTGCTCTACGATATACTAGGCAGTAGGCGAGTTACTGAAGAGGTGCTGGGAACAATACTCTGCTTAGTTGAGCAGGCTTAGAAATCTAGGCCAATCACTCCCGCTAGTACCGATTCACGTGAGCTAGAATCATGAACAACAAACCTTTTTGCTTGGACAGCATGCCACAAGCTTTCCTTCAGTTTTACCAGGGGAACAATTCGACCACAAGAAAAGGAATGTGCGAGTCATACGCTAACGCTATTTGGTCTCATTGGCTTCGAAAATATGCATACGCAGTCGGACTTCATTATTGCCCGAATCGTTAAGCTAAATTATGTGCAGGACGGATGCGCACCATCCACTCTTGTTAAGACCGCAATCTTTGAACTCACTCAGCCGGCCGTAAAGCTCAATCCGCTTGTTCCTTTTTCAGGGGCGGAGGATCTCGCAACTCAAATGTAATTAGAGCATAAATGTATGCAAAACTAAACAAGGCAGGATGGCCGAGCAGACTATTCCAAATGCACCAAAACTGAGTAGACCATTCCAACGTAGGTTCGGGTACTCCACGGGCCCATGTATTAACAGCATACAAAGGGGTTCTCATCTTATCTGACCCTTTCTCACTGTTTTTGGTTCTTGTTTGGTTCTACTTTGAAAAAGGCTGACCGTCATAAAGAACAATTTGTCTCACGGACATTAATACCGTTTCTTGTGGCTAGCCTGCGCCAATTTATACCGTTTCAGGGAGTTTATTGGTGTTTTTGCTGATGCTATATTCAGATGAAACATATGACATATGGATTTTCGGAGAGTTTATTTGCCGATAAATGCTCCCATTATTTCAAACTTTTTGAACCTTCGTATTTTTTTATGCGCACACTTTGACCTCGGGCACTATCTTTACCGTTTTGGAGAAAGTGCCACGCCTAAGCAGTTTGTTACACTTTGTTTGTTAACGCCGAAAACAAACACAAAGCTGTTTGCTGTTTCCAAAAATTATCAATTTAGTAAAGCTCATCCCCCGATTTGAGTTTCAATATGTGAAAACTGTTCTTCCGACCATTAAAAAATGGATGAACTTTGTATTTGGGTGTTTAATTTGTTTTGTTTTCAAGCAAATTCAAGAACCACAAAATATCATCGGAACGGGTAGAGCAATATATCACATTAGGGCTTTTTTAGTCGTGATTTTCTACTCATTTTTCTACAAAAATTACTTTCAATTTATTTTTTTTTGTTATGACTGTGGAATCTGCCTAATTTGTAGTTTTTCGTTCAATTAAAAACTAAAGGTTTTTTACTGGGCTTCTACAGTGCTGGTTTAAATTAACCAGACAGGCCGAATAAAATTGTCAATTTTAAATGTTTTTTTTTCCAAACTGAGTTAATTTCAAAACAAACAATTTAGAGAACTTTTTTAGATATTTAAAAATTTTTACCGCTTTCTGCCGATTCAGTCAAAAATTACGCTAAGAGTACCGGGTTAATTGCTCAGTAAACATTATCAAACTGAACCTTTAATGCAGTTCAAAAAAAATTAAATTAGCACTAATGTTTAAGAATTTCAATTTCGTTATTCAATCTTATATTGGTACTTTTTAAAATAAAAAAGACAATTTTCTATTAAATAAAAAATAATGTTGAATTTAAAAAAAAACGGAAGTTACAAAATTATTGTCACTATTCATTTGGTTCTTGTTTGGTTCTACTTTGAATAAAGCTGACCGTCATAAAGAACAATTTGTCTCACGGACATTATTACCGTTTCTTGTGGCTAGCCTGCGCCAATTTATACTGTTTTCAGGGATTTTATTGGTGTTTTTGCTGATGCTATATTCAGATGAAACATATGACATATGGATTTTCGGAGAGTTTATTTGCCGATAAATGCTCCCATTATTTCAAACTTTTTGAACCTTCGTATTTTTTTTATGCGCACACTTTGACCTCGGGCACTATCTTTACCGTTTTGGAGAAAGTGCCACGCCTAAGCAGTTTGTTACACTTTCATAACGCCGAAAACAAACACAAAGCTGTTTGCTGTTTCCGAAAATTATCAATTTAGTAAAGCTCATCCCCCGATTTGAGTTTCAATATGTGAAAACTGTTTTTCCGACAATTAAAAAATAGATGAACTTTGTATTTGGGTGTTTTAATTTGTTTTGTTTTCCAAGCAAATTCAAGAACCACAAAATATCATCGGAACGGGTAGAGCGATATATCACATTAGGGCTCTTTTAGTCGCGATTCGTTTTTCTACTCAACTTTCTACAAAAATTATTTTCATTTTTTTCTTTTTTGTTATGAATGTGGAATCTGCCTATTTTCTAGTTTTTCGTTCTAGTAAAAATTTTTTCGTATTGTTAAGACGGTGTCGGAACATTTTGTGCTACTTGCTCAGTAACCGCCTATCCCTGTTTCGTTATTCGTGAAATTTTGCATGGTAAACAAATCAAGTATACAACTATTTTTCTTGAGATTGTTTATTGGGGAGGGGGGTTTGGGTTGGTGTTGGAAAACGGTTTTCAATATTGAAGAAAACATTGTAAATTTCAATTTATCTGGCGGTCAAGTACATTGAGTATAACCAATTTTCCTATGAGACGCAAAATTGCAATAAGCAAGTCTGAATAGCTATTGGTATCAAACAGTTTTTCAATCAAAAGAGAGAAGAAAATGGACCGTTGCCGACATCTAAAACGGGGATATTGCTCGTGCATTATGGATGAGTTTTCATTTTTCAACAACCGTGAAAATTAACAAGACATGATTGACTATTTATAGCCTTTTAACCGGTTGAACATCAATAAAATATGGGTTTATGGATCACTTCAAAGATAAGTTAAAACGATCTCAAAATTGCATAATCATTCAAAAAAAGCTTCCAATAAAACATTTGGAAGCCTCTTTTGAAAAAAATTTTTAGCAGGTCGGCATGTTTCTGAGCATAATTAAAAAGAATGCGAATAACAATTTATTTGATCGTGCAAGAACGATAATTTGCCGCAAATTTTGGCAATGCTTCATTTTTTGAAAGACGGGATATTTATGTCGTGTTTTTTTGAAACCTTTAAGCAAAAGATCCTTTTTTGTGCATGTATTCAGCTAAAAACCCAATGCGTGTTTTTTTGAAACCTTTAAGCAAAAGATCCTTTTTTGTGCATGTATTCAGCTAAAAACCCATCTATTAGCGCCCAATGCGCCATTGAAAAAATTTAACATTTGGTCAGCCCAACAAAAAAACATTAATTCAAGGTTTAGCAACAAAATTTGAGTTTTTTTGGTCGGAGGAGGTTGAACAGAAGTTCGGATTATTACACTATAAAGGCGTCCGTTTAATAGCAGTTGCTTGCTCTTTTGAAGCTCCGATCTCGTATATTCGTTTTTATCCAAATTCCGACACTGCTTTTTTTTTGAAAATACTGATTTTTTTAATTTGTCGATTGGACTTACCAATGCAAATCCGAGATCTTTTTCCTTCTCGTGTGAGCCGACCAGTTCCATCAAGGGACCAATTTTGTCGTCCGACTCGATAGACCAGCTCGTAATGACCTGAAACACGAACAAACAATTGTTCTAGACTATCTGCTATTGGGTCTCTGCTGTCAAATGGTCCAAAATTACCATATTGTTAATTGAGCTTTTGTTTTTAATGAAAATTTACTGGAATTGGTTTCCACCAATCACATTTGAGCAATATGATTCAAATTTCAAATTGACCAATTAGATCGCTTTTAATCCGTATAACTAAAAAGAGCCGTTCAATCTAGAATGTATTGGATTTTTAAAATGGTTTTCTGAGCTCTCCAAAAACACTGCAAAGACCTTATTGTGCCTAAAACGGTTGCGCTATAGGTGAAACTTTGAAACTTTGAAAAAAGCTAAGCTTGACTTTCTTTGGCACGTTTTGTGTGGCTTTAACTTAAAAAATGCGTTTTTTTTTGGCGCGCGCACCTCCTCAAACGTAACACAATTTAGCACAAAATGGGTCTTTGGAAACAATCAGGGATGGTAAGATAACAAAAAGTTTCGTAAACTTGAACCAAAGTGGTTGTAAGGGAAAGAAAACCTTAAAAAGTCGGAGCGTCGCCCTTTCACTTAAATCAGCCGATGATTTTTTTGTATTCATCAGCTGATTGACGTGGAGGGGCGACGCTCCGACTTTTTAAGGTTTTCTTTACCTTACAACTACTTTGGTTCAAATTAAGGAAATTTTTTGTTATCTTACCATCCCTAACTGTTTCCAAAAGCACATGTTTACGCACATTTCTCATCAAGGCAATTGATTGGTGATTTTTGTTTATTCACAAAACAGAGTGAAAAATTGCAACAAAGAACGATCACAAAAATGAAAACTCGTAACAAAAAAAAGAAAAGGTTTTAAAAAAATCGGCCTTAGCTCTTTCATACTGAGCAAAATATTTTAAGTTAGCAGCAAACACTGATTTACGCGCATTGTACCACTCGCGTTGAATGTAAGCGTAAATGGTAGCTACTTGCAACTGCCGCGTTTTAACATTACGAGGCCAAATATGAATAGGTGCACAACTTTTTGTCGATATGGTGCTGGATTCAAGAGACAAACCTTCAAATATGTTAAAACGTAAAACGTTACAGGAACAATCAGAGAAAAAAGCAGAACAAAGGGAGCGTCCTTGTTGCGAATCCACTCACAATTCACAAAATACACAGATTGGCCTCGTAATTTTAAATAATTTTTGAGCTTACTGAGTTGTCACTTTTGTTTAAATTTGTGAATTGAATTTTTTTTTCTAGTTATAATTTGCTGCGAAAGGTCGCGATACGATAGTTAAAACTAGGTAGCAGTGAAGATGAAGATTGTGGCCCAACGTACCTGGCATATCAGTCGCGACAATTGTATGTTTTTCAATTTGAAGCAGTTTTGATCCCAGTTCGAAGGAAAGAAAAGGAATAAATGGGCCACATGCTTGAGGTGTTGTTTGTCTTCGGACCATATTCGACATTTCTTGAATCGTTTCTGACTGAGTTTTTTTAAAATAATTTTGAGAACTCGTGATATTTTGAGCTCACATTTAAAATATAATTTAGCTACGATTTTTTTTGTGGTTTTAAGCTGATAGCCAATTTCTCATAGCTCGTGACAAATAGGGCTGTTTATTTCGGCAAAGAAAATCAAACCCAAAGTGAATTTTATGCATTAAAATTGATCAAATTGAATTGTTTTAGTGATCCCAGTAATCTTGTGATTGAAATTGTAGGTTAAGAACTTTTTTTGAAAAAGGTGTATTTTTTTTGAAAATTGGATTAAATTTGTTAAGCAAATAAAGCAAATTCAAGTGATACGAAAACTCTTGTTTTCGCTTTCAGCGTCAGTTTTATTTTTTATAATGATTTCTGTAATTTGAGTAGCCGTTTAGTTAATTTATTATTAGATTTCGGATTCTTATAAAATTTTGAAAAATTTTTGCTAAAACCAATTGAGCTTAATGTAATCATTTGAACAAAAACCGCAACAATCGTCAAATTAGTATAGAAACTCAGTCAACCAGCGGCACTAAAGTTAGCAAAGACAGTAAGTAATCCTGTTGATTTTATGTTCGTTTTTGAAAAGTTTCAGAGCAAAAAAAACGAATAGCACTTGAAAACATTTATTTTTTTTTCAAATTATAGATAAAAACTGATGAATTCAACAGTTTAATTATCCGAAAAGCAATAAAAAGAAAATAATGCTAATTGACTATTTAAAAAAATCCGCCAAAAATTAAATTTCATCTAATTTTGAAGCCAAGAAATGTCGACGCTGAGAAAAATAATTGCTTCGGTCAAATTTCCTTCTGATTCTGCTTAACTTTTTTGAACGAAACAGTAGAAAACTAATAAAATCAAATGATTAAGCTGAGATAAAGAGATCATTATTATTGAAATTGTGCGGTAAAACAGAAAATTTTAAAACGGAAAAAAGGTGATTTTTAGGTTAAAAAATTAGATTTTTTAAACGCAATTACTTACACACGACCGATGCAGTCGTGAGACAGTTTATTATTAGTAAATAAAATAATAAGAAATTTGAACTGTTTTATGTTAAACTTGAACTTTACTATCGATTACCAATCAGTGCTGCCATCCAAATTCTTTGTTGGTTAAGTATCATGCAACAAAAGTTTTGAGGCTCCAAATAGCAATGAGTTTTTTTCAAAATCACGTATTTCCTAGTATATTGAAAAAAGAATAAAGTTTTGATGGTTATCTTAAGTACAGGAAAACATGAAATCCCTCAAAAAAATCTTAAATCTGACGCGAAAGTTGATTAAACTGGTACATTTTATTCAAACTGGGCTGACTATAGTTCTTGCATGATACAGTAACTTTGTTTTATCTGTCGTTTTTTGGTTGATTTCGTTAAAAAAAAGTAAAATTAAGTTGTTGTGTGTATGGTTGCAATTCTTTCAGACTTTCAGAAATTGTTCAGATTAAAAGGTAAAAACAGCTTTAAACAATTTCATCGGTAGGTATTTTAACGAGCCTAATTGTCTGAAATATAAAAACTGGATCAAAAAAAGCTAAGACTTTAAAAACAGCTGGGTTAAATTGTTTATAGCACAAATAATTGCTGTTGATATTTCAAAATCATCTCCTGCAAAAAAAATGCAAGAACAAGAAAGACAGGAGTCGGACGTTCATTTTACTTCTTTTTTTATACTCAAACCCTAATTCGTGAAAATTCTTGAGCCAAAACCTTTGGCAAGAAGTTTTCAGAATAATGAAATTGCGTTTCAACAAGAGTTTTTATTAGGCTGCTGCATATAGCCGACTTTTTCAAGAAACCACAAAACTTTCCGACTTTTGTTCGAAATAAAAGTTTTATAATTTTTGACTGATAAAAAACACCAAACAAGCAACATCCTCGTTATATAGTGAAAAAAATTGAACCAATGACCTTCATGAAAAATCAAAACTTGTTTTAATTACAACCGTATTCAAAATTCAGGTATAATAGACACATAGTTTTTTTGATCAAATGCAACCGCGTTGAAACAGTTGTTGATCAATTTTTAATTTTTCAACTGCAAATTTTCTTGGGAGTATTTGAAAATTTGTTTTAAATTCTAACAAAAATGCTAATTGTTTTGTTTTTCAACCTAGTTGAAATATCAGAAGAGTTTTTTTAATCTAGTTGAAAAATTGAAAACTGAATAATAAACAAGAGGTAGTTTGACTATAATGTCCAGATATTTGAAATGTTTTCAACAAAACTTCCGAGTGAGAAAATCATAAAACTAATTGTTCTACAATTACAAAACTTACGAAATCTTGAAACAAAACTTATAGATATAGGTAATACGAATTTTTTTTGTGTCACTTCTGATTGATATTAAATTACTGTTAAAGTAACGTAACAAGAGCTATAAATTTATCATTTTCGGTCAAATTTGAAAAAAAGAATCAATGTTTTTGAACCTAGTTGAATACTTTTATAGTTTAGGATATCTTATAACTGGTTGCACTAAGCAAACTTTTGCCCAAGAACTGTTATTTTTTTAAAATTTGACTTGCTAATTGTGATAAAAAAAAATTAGAGGTTTTTTCTGGGCTTCTACAGTGCTGGTTTAAATTAACCATAAAAGCTTAATAAAATTGTAATTTTTAACGTTTTCTCTCAAATTGTGGTAATTTCAAAAGAAAAAATTTACAGAACTTTTTTTAGATATTTTGAAGACTTTACCGCTTTGTGCCGAGTCAGTAAAAAAATACGCCAGGAGCACCGGGTTAACTGCTCATTAAACAGTATCAAACTGAACCCTTAATGTAGTTCAAAAAAAATTAAATTGGCACTAATCTTTAAGATTTTCAAGATCGTTTTTAAATCTAATATTGGTACTTTTTAAAATAAAAAAGACAATTTTCTGTTATATAAAAAAATTATGTTGAATTTTAAAAAAAAACGTAAGTTACAAAATTTTTGTCAATATTCATTCAAATACATAATAAGCTCACTTTAACACATTTTTTGCTCATCAATTGACCCGGTATTTTGTTAAAAACTTTGATTAATTAAACGGAGCCAAATTTTGATCCTCTCTAGGGTGAATTTTTTCCCCGACTTTTGCACAAAAATTCACAACACTATTCTTTTAAAATTCTAAGCATATTTGTTGTAACTTTTTTTTCATTGAAATTAACACAGTTTGAGAAATAACAGTGTAATTCGATAAATGACAGAGAATTTTGATCCTCTCTATGGTGAATTTTTTCCCGACTTTTGCACAAAAATGCACAATACTATTCTTTTAGAATTCTAAGCATATTTGTTGTAACTTTTTTTCATTAAAATTAACACAGTTTGAGAAATAACAGTGTAATTTGATAAATGACAGAGAATTTTGATCCTCTCTAGGGTGAATTTTTTCCCGACTTTTGCACAAAAATGCACAATACTATTCTTTTAAAATTCGAAGCATATTTGTTGTAACTTTTTTTCATTAAAGTTAACACAGTTTGAGAAATAACAGTGTAATTCGATAAATGACAGAGAAATAACAATTTTGTTCAATTAGCAGTTTATTTTATCAATCACAATTATTGCCAGTATTGCGAATGATTTTAGACGGCGGGGAAAAATTGATATCCGACTCTCAACTAATCGATGATAATTGTCGTCATGAAGCATTAATTTTGCTTGCTTCATTACATTTTGACAAGCATTTGAATTTAAGCTGCATAGTTTGTGAAAAAAATTAAGTTATCCAGAAGCAAATGAGTTCGTCTAAATAAACGGTGCACGTTTTTTTAAATCATGCAAGACAATTGAATCTTTTTTGAGATGCTACATATAATGACGGCTTCTTCAAACTTTTGACACTTCTTTGTTAAATCGCTGCGATTTTTCTTAAGTTTAAGGATAGTTTTTTTTTGGAGAGTTTAACTTGGATTAGTAAAAAAGTTTTTGTTAAATACAGAAGTTTAAGTTTAAAGCTAATAAGTTTTGTAATACAGTACTGATTATAAACTATCCGGACAACAAGAATAAAATTTTAAACAAAATTTTCTCAAATTGGGTTGACTTCAGACAACACTTTCGTAAAAATTCAGATAGAATTAATATGGCGCATACGGTTTTGCGAAATTCGGGCCCAAATTTTTACCCGTAAAACGGATCTTTTTTGCCTTTTTTTTAGCTAATAAGAGAAAACACCAAAACTATCGAGTCATTTACATTAAAAAGCCTTTTGAGTAGCCCAACAAATTTTAAAAAGGGTATGATATTCAGAAAACATTGGTGGCTTTTTATAGCGAAAACGTCTTTCTTATCTCTATCCGTTTTTGGGGTAAAATTTTGAACTAAAATTTTGCAAAAACCATTGCATCATTATAATTCCGCTAAAATTCTAAGCAATTTTTGTCTTGATCTTTTTTGTCTAAAGGCAATACAATTTGAAAAAAAAACCGCGTTTTAAATTTCAAGTTTTGTTCGTTGTGTCCGGATCATTTAAATTAGCACTGCAGTTTCTTGGAAATAGTCAAAACAACAGAACTAAAAAAAATTGTGCAATGTTTCACCTCTTCTAGCTAAATCAAAAATTGCCATGGACGTCTCTGTCTCCGCTTACCTCGATTGTGGCGTGGAACAGTTGCATTTTGGTGTCAATGGTGCCGACTTTGTGGAATTTGATCTGGACCAGAACTTCCTTGGGAGGCTCAGTGGACTTTCGGGAAGAGGAAGTTATGTTGCTTTTTCTCCTCATCTCATCAGTAGGTGTGAAATCTTTTTCCACTTTTTCTTCTTTTTCTTCTCTCGACAGATCAAAAATAAGGCAAAAATAAATGACTTTTCTGAAAAGTTTCCTCAAACTTATTCCGCAGTTTGTGGTCGGTTTGGAGGCGTAGCCATGATTTTTTTCATTATGTGACGGCTGACTTTTCCTGGAAATGTCTGGATACTTTAGAAAGTCATCGTCTCCGTACGCGTTAGCCGCAAATTGACGCATATATCAATCGCTTTTGAGATATCATGGGCAAAAATTTGACAAATAAAATGTGTACCAATAAATCACAAACTTTTCAAATAAAACGCAAAACGATGAAAAAACTTCTATTTTATAACAACATATAACTGATTTAGATCATGGAAATATTTCGAAAACAGATTTTAATTCAACGTCTTGGATATAACTTTGCAAAATATGGTAATTGGTATCTCATGTTTGTAAATACTGATAAGGTTGAATTTTCTAAGAAAATGTGGTAAGCGAGAATTTTTTCATCTGCAATATGGACCTCAGAAGCGCAATTGGTCGCAGGTTATTCGGCTGATAAAATCACCATAGCACTTCACCACACAATAGATTATGAGTGGGCCAAGGTGTCCTGGTTATAAGTATTGATTAAGCAGGTTATAACAAAAGGTTAGCTGATTTATTTTTGAGGCTTAATGCCTTATATTGTTTTTCTCTTATTTTCAGTGTTTCTCGAGGTCGCCTGGAAATTGAAGAGATTGCTGTATGCTCACTTTCATGAAACAAAAGCAATACATGTTGAAAATATTCAGAATTAGCCTTGTTGACTTTTGCCAAATATTCCCAAAGGTGTGGAAAAGTTTTCACGTGTGATAGGCTCAAAGGGCATTTCAGACGACGAAAAAAGAAGGCAGGTAACGGGTCAACTATGAAGCTAAAGGAATGCAGAAATATTGGGCTAATTCATAACCAACGGGGCTTGAGTTAATGGAAGGACTGGGCTTAGAGACAAACGTGAAATTAATCAATGCATTTCACCTCAAGGTCTTAGTCAAGTCTGTACTACACGATGAACAAAGCTCTCATCTGATAGAAGAAAGCAATAACGGTAAGAGCGGAAAAATAAAAAATATGGGAAAACGAAATATATTGGAGGCATTATTTGAGGCGAATTGACGTAGATTTGTCATTTACAAAAACGGCGATGGTGGATATTAAATTATAGCTTGGGATGGGGGAGGTGAATAATAGCTTCCGCTTGCCCGTCAAACTTACCACAGAACTAAATTTGATCCAACGGCTATCGGATAAATTGCGCGGGTAATATGGCATAATGGTACGATTGTCGCTTGCAATGACATGATAATGGCGTGATAATGGGATATGATATTAAAAATAGAGGTACAATTTTTGAAGGCAGAATATTGGGAAAAATTAGAACGACAGAATTACATTAGAATGCGACAAATCCATTAGAAGATAACATTTCCCCCCGAAGAAGGAGATTACTATTGGCAAAAATGGGATTTATTTTCAGATTTGATTAGAGTCTGCAAAAAAAGATTTATCTTTTGTTTTTCGGATTCCAATATGGTATCAGATTCTGTTTTATCTCTAATCTTTCGCATTCAATCACCGAAAAAAAATCGCTTTAATTATGCGGAATTTTACGATGCATTTTTGTCGCATCGCAAAATTGAGAGCATCCGTTTTTTTCTTTGTTGTTCATAATCGGTTGAAGGCTTTCTTTTTTAATGAGGAAAATGGCATTAAAAAACGAGAGAAATCATGAACAGTTCAGTTTAATGAAGACAATATTTTCTTTTTTTACTTCATGAAGTGGTCGGAACAAAAAACAGCAGACATGTAGACTTAGACTGCAATAAAAACATATATCATTAAAATGATATTGAACGCAAATTTCTTTTCTTTTTTCTTTCTTAGGGCTAAAAGGAATAAAAATACACGTAGGTCTGGGAAATTAGAAGAATGGTTGGTTGACATTTGTTCAAGAGGGCTGCCAATTCATTGAGCATAAGTTTGCAGCAAGCTTCCTGTTTTCCCTTCAAAGTATCTTATTTAAATTGCTCTCTTCAAACTGAAAATAATTACCAAGTTTTTTTCTCTCTCTCTTTTTGTTAAGTCATTCGCAGCGTAAACTGCTAAAAAAGCAAAATTTATAACCGCTTATAACATGCGCTATTTTGCTTAATAAATAATTAACCTGAGATAATAAAAATTGACGATTGAGAGTTCAATAAGCCTTTTATGTTTAATAATTACAATATTGAATCTAAGTTGAGGAAGCTTTTAATTTTCGAGCCAATTTGTAGATAGTTTTCTTCAGTGTGTAAAATTCAACCAGATAATTGATTTTCAGAATGAAGTTTTGAAAGTAAATAGACGCCCTTGTTCAAATAAGCTAACACAAATTCGTCCTTTGTTAGGCGTTTGAAGGACAACTAAAACATGCTCGCATAATTTCACGGTACGTTTCCGCGCCTGTGGAAAATCGCGTGAGAATATTCGGGGCAAAACAGTTTAACGCGAATTGGCACTATTAAACTTTTGGAGATCGCGCTAAATAAACTCAACGTTGAAGCTTTTTACCTGGACTTTCTTGGAAGTATCAGATCTGCGTTTAGTTCAAATTTGGGATTATTCAGTGAGTTTGAAAATATATCGCAAAATTCTTTGCCCTAAGTTAAACACTAAGCGCTTTTCGAATCTGTCAAAGTTCTGATTACTTATGCCTTAATAAAGATCGCAGGTGCCAGGAGTTTTATTCGATTCCGGTGCAATACCCGTTTTAATGTGCAAAACAACTGTTTTTCTAATAGTTCGCCTATATTTGAAAAAAAAATCGGCGTTTTGCCGCTAATTTGTCATTTTGCTTTCAAAGTGTTTATAGCCTTCATAAATTTTAAAGGAATAGCTACTAAGTGAGTCTAATTTTAACTATATTTGCCGCAAACAAAAATTGTTTATGACCTTTTTTCGAACCATTGATTTTTCGGTGGTTTGAACTAGTTTGAGATCATTCTTTGATGCAAATTTGCAACCCAGCTACAACCCGGGTGCGGGTTTTCTCCATATCTGGCTTGTAATCCCGACCGACAACTTACCCTCTGGGTTATTCGTGCCCAATCTTTCCTCAGCACAGGAAGTGTTCTTTGATAGCGTTTTGTGACGTAAGCAGTATATGCCACCAAAAACAACCGTTTCAAATGAAGTTTAATTCCCTTATGGTTTTTGACGGCCAGGGCTAATCTTTAAGCGTTGGCTTTGGAGTCAAGTTTTCAGAAGTGGATTTGCACGAGTAAACATTGTTTGCTATAAAACAAGTGACCAACAGTGAAACAAAATGGAAACTGGGCTGTGCTTGGGGTCCAAACACCAAACAGAAACGCTGAGACCAGCAAATTACTTTGCCTAGAGGAAGTAGGTTTTATAGAAGGATCACAATTGTCAACACAATTCAACAAAAATAATCAAGGAATATGCCAAAGAATGACGGAAAAACGATTTTAACAAAATATCATATTTTTTATTTAAAGGCAACTAGCAACTTTTTTTTTGCAAAATTTCAAAAAATTTGCGCTCCCTAATTAACAGTGCTAAATAAATGACTTGTTTTGATTGGGTAATTTGCGAACGTTTTGCTCAACGAAAGCCAGACAACAGATGTCAACTTTGAGATTATATTTTGGACCAAACTTTTTAAAAAATTTATAAATATGAAGAACACTTGAATAAATGTGTGAAAAAACTTCTAAAAAATTATTACACCAGTTTCAATGGAGATGATTGAGTTATTTTTTCCTAGACACAGATTGACTTTTCATTTTAGCTTATTTCGTCAAACTATAAGACTCATTTAAGCTCAGAACGGAACAACGAAATCCGGCTTCAGACCGTGTGGACCGCAGGAATCCGGATTCAGACCGTGTGGACCAGCGAAATCCGGCTTCAGACCGCGTGGACCACAGGAACCCGGATTCAGACCGTGTGGACCAACGAAATCCGGCTTCAAACCGTGTGGACCGCAGGAATCCGGATTCAGACCGTGTGGACCAACGAAATCCTGATACAGACCATGTGGACCGACAGAATCCGAATTCAGATCATGTGGACCCCAGGAACCCGGATTCAGACCGTGTGGACCAACGAAGTCCGGCTTCAGGCCGTGTGGACCAACATAATCCGGGTTCAGACTTTGCAGACCTATGTTCAGACTTTGCAGACGTTGACCTGCGTGGCGACTATGAATTTTCGGCCCCACGCGGATCGATAAAACAACGAACTCGACCCGGGATGCACTCTTAGCAGTAATTAAGATCAGTCTGAAACTGATCCGACTTCAATTGAAAAAAAAATCAGAAATAAAGAGTTTTAAGAAAATCCCTGCTTATATAAACATTTCACAAAAAATTTCTGACCAAAAAAATAGTTTAGATATAAAGTATTCTAGGTCAGAAATAAAAGATTTTCTCGGTACGGGCCAACAAAGAATGCGTTATTTATCTCGAATAATAGTTCAATACCATTGGGTGAGGGAGGAACGTTTTTAATCGAAGTTTTGAGTTTTTTGGTAATTTTTATTAAGTTTTTTTATGAAACAGCGACAATTTTAAGGGAGATCAAAGCAGCCAGGGCATTGTCTTGAAATGTAAGTTAAGCTAAATAGTAAAGAAAAAAGCCAGGCAGTAATATAACAGTTAGTAAACTGAATCTGCTTAACAATCCCCCCTATTACAAAAGGGGGAAATTGTTAAGTAGGTTGAGCTAGCAAATTACTAGCAAATTAGTCGATCTTTCAGCCAATCAGAATGCAGCAAATTCTGAAACCGAGAAAATTCTAACTGGCAACAGCTGTTACACTTAGCAAATAAGTACGTAAATTGAACTTAGCAAATGAGCACGTAAATTATAGGGGGGAGATTCTTAAGTAGGTGCCATTGTGGGGGAAATTGTTAAGAAAATCCAGTAAACTTAAGCAGTCAATTTTTTCTATAGGAATACATCATAACTTCAACGCCCGAAATCACAAACATAGATTTTTGGAGATACAAACGTTCAAGTTTTAACCTGAAACCTTATGTGTAGTTAAGAGAATTAATTTAGGTTTTAGGTTTTTTTTTGTCTGTTGAAGTTGTTGAGCTCTTTTGTTTTTCAAAAATACTTTATTTTCCTCCAATTTTTTTAAAATTTACTTTCTATACCTAATTTTCCTCCTAGTTAGACAGAACACGTTAGGTTGATTACACGGTTTCGTCTGTGACTTTTCTTCAATACAGTTTTAAAAAAACAAAGGTGTGCAGTTAAATGATCTAAATTGAAATTGACATGAACGATGATTTATTAAAAACTGTCTAAGCGTGGTCTAAAAGGAAATAGACAATTTTACTTTAAAAAAACAACATATTAATGATAATTAAATTTACATAAGCTGTTTTTCAGAATAATAACTTAAGAATCCAATACATGTCCTAATTTGGGATTAAATAATTCAAAAATGTCATTTGAGCCTTGTATGTACAGTGCTGATTTAAATTAACCGGGCAAAACGCGTTAAACTTGAAATTTTAAACCCGTTTTTCTCAAATTGGGTTGAGTTTAGGTGAAAACTTAAGAAGACAAAACTTGCTTAAAATTTTAGCAGAATTAATATGGTGTAAATTGTTTTGCGAAATTCGGGCCCGAAATTTTACCCCAAAAATGGGTTATTTTGGCTTTTCTTAGTTAATCAAAAATTACGCCAAAAATACCTAACCCCCACACGCCATATCAAAAACGAAGCGATAGATTTTCATTCTAGTAACAAATCAGTTATGGCAAACACGCTTCCTTCAACCAATTTGGATTTCTATGACAGATTAAATCTTTTAGCCCCCATAACTTTACGAAAAATGATAACAGGTGAAATGTCTCTTTAAATTTAGGCTCAAGACAACAATACCTTCTGAATGATTCAAAGAAATTACTGAAAAATGGCTAGTTAAACAGTCGAAACTTGTCTGAAGACAAAAAAAATCACCCCGAGCACAAAAAATCCGTTACTTTCGTTACGAAAGTCAGTACAATAATGAAAAACTATAAGTTTCGGACAAAAATCGACAATCAAGTGCAAAACTATTTGGTCGTACGAAATCAATACGACCGATTAGCTACTTTCAATTCAATTTGGAACAATTTTGTTGTGCGGGATAGTTCGCCACGCATAAATAATTCTGATTACGTTTTCAGCATTAAACGTAAAGCGCACATAAATTACTCCGGAGCATGGCCAAATTAGCTTTTTAAGCTCCCAGAACTTTGCAAAAAGCAATCAAATATCTTTTCATTTTTTGATTCAAGAGTTGATATTTTCAATGGGGTATAAAACTTTTTGTTAAAACCATTAGTCGAACCAAAGTCGAAACAATAAGAGTAAAAGTGTACAATTATTCGATCTGAGCTTAAATGATCTTGATCATTGATTGATACGTGGTCTACGCTTTGTCTCGAAATATACAAAAAAGTTATTGTTTTTTTTTCTAAAAAATTTGAAAAAAGTCACATCTAAGGTGAACCAATTAGCAATACTTGGATATGGTCTCAGAAATATAAAGACGAAACAAATCGATTTATGCCCATCATTTCTACAGCCAAGTCTTAAAAGATGTACAATTATAAGCAATAAGCAAAAATAACCGTTTACTGTGCAAGTAGCACATAGTGTTCGGACCACAGTCTTAGAAAAATACAAAAACATTTTTTTTTTCAAATTAGTGTCATTTTTTCTGCATGTTGAGATAAAAAGATCTAAACGAAAAAAAAAACTTAGGCATATCTGCCAATCATTGTAAAAAAAGGCATTTCGGGAAACAGTTTTTGAAGAAAATTGAATAGAAAAACAAAAAAATTGTATAAAAAATTAAAATAAAAATTTAAAATTTTTCAACATTTTTTGTAGAAATTTTTGGAATTTTTAACCTTTGTATACAAAATGGCTCTAAAAAATTCCAAAAATTACTTTTATTTTCACTTTTATATAGGACAACTGCATTTTCACGGTTTAAAGTAAACTCAAATAAGCTATTGTAAGCCTACACGATCACACCATAATTGTTCGAAATTAGAGCAAAAAATAAAAAATTCAAACCGGTTTTTTTCGTCACTGTGAAAAAATTTTCATTTTTTAAAATGTTCTTCCAATTATGATTGAAAGGGTTTTAATATGATATATCACTCGAACCATTCCTATAATTATTTGTGTAACCTGGTTTTGCGTGGAAAGCAAAAAAAAACTTAAACACACCCGAATACAAAGTTCTTCCCCTTCTTTCAAATGGTCGGAACAAAAAATTGCGGATTTTGTTACCATTCTAAATATTAACAACGTACAAATGCTGTAGCATAAAACTATGTCGTGTTTAAATTGATATGGCATTTTCCTCAGCTCAGCGCTGCAAAGGTTTATTTGATGTCATCAGAGTTTGATGTCATAAAAATTTGACGTCATAAGAAATTGATGCCATAAGAGTATCATATATGGAAACCTTCAGTGTGTGGGGCCGTCAAAATTCCAAACTAGGAGGGATGGAGCGAAACCACTAAATCCATTTTACGGAAACACCTATTCCCTTATAACGACTGTATAAGCCAATGGCTCACAACGTCTTCTTTTTAATCTATTTACTCATGAAATAACTGATAACTCATATTAGCGGCGATAATGAAGCTTCATACAAAAAACAATGAAGTAAATTTAACCACAAAATATTGATGATACAAGTGATTTGCCAGAAAAGAACTCCCATATTAGTTAGGAGTTAGTCTAAAATTTTCTTTAGGATTCATTGGGCACTTAATGTTTGCCAGGGTCTTAATTTACAGAATTGTTTTTTTTGGAGCTAGTAATGATTCATTTGCATATCTGTCTAGAAAGTCCAGGCAAGTATTGCGACAATTTTGATCTCCTATTTTTAAAAACCAATGAAGAG